AATGTTTTCATTTGTCAAGCTTCACCTGCTCCTAAGGTATAGGGAAAAACATGAATGAAAAATACTGGGGAAGAAAGGTAGCATGCTTCCCACAGAACAAATATTGTTGAAAAGCCGAAATACTCTATTAGTTCTTACTGCAAATGTATTATTGTAAACATTACAGAACCACCAACAATTTAAGCCTGAAACGTCAATGGCTACATCCCCCATTTTCAGCTCTGTGTCTACCAAACACTTCAGTTCTGCCCACACCCCATTTTATATTTCTACTAGTTGAACCTCAACATATAGGTACCAGGCAGATTTTTTTGTTATGTTTGTGTGGAGGAGAAAAGAACTAACAGCTAAATGAAGAACTGAGCACAGAAGCAGAAAAAACATAGAAGAAAGTGGATTAAATAAGCTCTAGAAGCCTTGAAAGGAAATGGAAAGTACTTATTACTTACGTTGTAAAGGGAAAAGAAAAAAGTATACTTATTTGTTTTTGGCACTGCTCTTTGTAGGTAGGAAAAATGTCCTCTTATGTTTTAAAGGAAAAGTTCTATAGCAATACACCAGAAAGATGTCTTTCAGATGAGGTAAATTGAGCTCATGAAATTATACTTTTGAAATGCCATCTATCATTCTGTGAAAGATTCATCTTACAAGCGTAGACTAAAACAGTGATAGTACTGTCTAGAATAAAGGATCCTATTTACTTCAACACGTCATACTTCATAAAAATAACATCCAAGATAAAGCTTGTAATAAATGCTAGTCAGTCAGCTCAAAGCAAATCAGTGAGGTCTGTAACAACAAAGTCAGCAGCTCTCAGAGCAGAATGTTTTAACAGAGCAGGCACAGATGATTTCAATGAAAGGCACAGATGGACTCTGAGGAACAGAGGTGAAAACAGTAAAATTAACCCTTCAATCTTCCCAAAAAACAATGAACCTGCCTACCCTTAATCTGATCAACCCTATCTTTAAACAAGCCATTGAAATGTAAGGCTTTTAAATTTAACTTCGTGAAATGTTACAAGTTTTATATTCTCCTTGTAGTAGCTGAAACCCCAGTTACTTCCATTACAGCATTGTTTATGTATGCCACTCTAAAAGTATTGCCTCCTATTTGTTTCCACGGAAACTACAACAAATACAAGAAGAGAGACCCTAAACCCTCTCTGGGCAGCCTGTGTCATCACAGGCTCTGTCACAACATAGAAATGCTCCCAGGTGCTTAGAGGGAACCTCTTACATCCCAGTGTGTCTCCATTGCCTCCCACCCTGACATCAGGCACCACTGAAAAAAAAAGAAAAAAAAAACCCACAACCTGTCTTCATCCTCTCAGAACTCCCCCCTCAGGTATTTATGAACATTCAAGAGATTCCCCCTGTCCAGGCTAAGCAGTCCCAGCTCTCTCAGCCTTTCCTGAAGGAAGAGGTGCTTCAATCCCTTCAGCATCTTTGTTAGCCCTATGTTGGGCACTGTCCTTGATTTTCTTACAATAACACAGGGCTATTTGCTAGCATGCATACTTTGGAACAAATTTTTAAACCATTTTGTTTTAGCAAATGTGAAAAACCCAGTAGCAATTATCATTATTTGTTGCCTAAATAAATACTACGATTTTACTGGGAAAAAAATTAAAATGCATTAGGTCCTGCTAACACTTCTGAGCACTGAAACTATTCCCAAGATGTTCTTGCTAAAATAATGACTTAAGGAAATTAGTAAAAATACTTCCATGCACTCCCAAGTATATTCTGCATAGATGAGCATCCTGCAAGCATTTCAAGTCACTGTTTGACTAAAGACTCTTTTTGAACTTATGGGCCAGCACATGCACCTCCTCCTCTGCTTTTGCTTTCATGATTACATAAAAAAGCCTACTTTACCATTATGCTACTTCGTGGCATTTTCCATTACAGATTGAGGGATTTACTGGTGGTTAATTTCCAACCATTATCAACACATTACAGATAGAAGGAACAGAAAGAATGATCAGGTAACAAGTGATTGCTTTGTCCCATCCAGCCTCTAAAACTGAGTGGCTCAGGATTGAACAACATACTACAACAGAAATGCAAAAGACTTGTTTTACCTCCTTATTCTCACTTGAATAACAAGTTACTCAAAACTAACCGACTCAAACTAGCCTTGGCAAGAAGCAGCTGAACATTATTAGCATTATCTTGAGGGTAGCTTCTGCTACCTTTTATTTTCTGCTATGAATTCCACTACAACACTTGAAGCACCTAAGCCATCTTGAAGCTTAGAAGGCTATTCTGAGGAAACCTTTTAGATAATACTGTTGTCACTCCTCTGCTGTTGCTTTTTCTGCTTATATGTATATGTGCCTTCTAATGCCCCAAAACCATATCCTTGGGGATTAGGAAGGATCAGCAATTCATCTCGCTGATTTATAACATGTGTGAGTTCCCAACACCTCAAAATAAAGCGTCTTCTTTATTAATTTCAATAGGAAAAAGATATTTGTATAAAAGGAGGTTGAAAGAATATTCTTGGTTCACAAGCCAAACAAATAAATTACTGTTGTCATCATGAAGAGTCCAGTTACTGGAAAAAAAAAAAAAAAACAGTTAAACTGAACTTTTAGTATTTATAACATTTTAATTTGCAGTTGTAAGAACGTAACTGATTCAGAAATAAATAGCTCTCAGTTCAATTCCCTCTTCCCTTCCTCCTAACTCGAAAACAAGTTTACTGGAAATATTTGCAGTACAGCACTGTCTGGCAAACTAGACAGAAGGGGTTCCCACTGGAGAGAATACTCTACGCCTTTGGCTTTTCCTAGGCTCATTTCCTACATGCAAGCTTCTAGTCAACCAAATACGCAGCAGTAGCGTTAGTTTGGTTTATTATTATTATTGTTTGTTATTCGATGGAGACCTTAATCTTCCACTGAAGTCAGAATATAACCCGTGGTAATTTTGCTAATCAGTACAATTTCATCAGTTGCTTGTAGGGACCATTCAGCAGTTGATAGAAATATCATGATTCAGACCACTATATGGAAGCAATTCTCATACATGCAATCAGCTGGAGTACAGAGATTTACAAATGCATAACTATGCATCAGAATACACTCATCTTAAGAGAAAAGGCTGGGACAAATCAATGTCAGCATCATTATGAAGCTAAGTAGTCTTATTATATGCAGAGATTTACTGGTGGTTAAGTCTGAGCTTCTGCAAATTTGCCTAATCATATTTAGCCCATACCTTGCTAGATAAAGTGCTCTAGATTTCTCTTTGCAGCATTGCAAATGATACAATTTACTGTATTGTTGAAGTCAAATATATGGAGAGAAGGAGGCTGGGGAATGTGTAGAGTTGGTAATGCTGAGTTCCATTTCATTTTTCACTTCAAGTTTTCCTTCTCTCTTTGTTTACAGAAACAGCAATAATTAATTACATGAACAACAGTCCTGAACTGTCTGGTTTATTCAGTGAAATTACGTTACCAGTTTTCATACTGCCAGAACTCATTTTCTATCTTCGTACAGGATTCAGGTCTCAGAACATCTTGTAATTTAAATAGGAGAAAAAAGGAAGGGTGAGCAGCCCACCATGGAAGACAGATTATTAGAGATGGCCTTAAAGAGCCCAATCATCCAGTTGTTTGTACTACCATGTAAATAAAGGAGAGTCTGTTCAAAGTACAAAGCGTGTTCTTCAATTAACAAAGTTTGATTTTTAGTTGAATGAAACAACTTGACTGACTGTTAACAGTTACTCTAAATATATGATAACACGACTGACATTTGTCATCTTCCACCTGAAGATCAAAACTGCCAAATTCACAATGTGCAAGTACCTGACAAATATATATATATACTAATGCCAAGAGAGGGCTGCTGTGTAGAGCTGATCAGGCTACCTTACAATCAAGCATACAGAAATGACAGCTATGTTAATTTCCTTTGTTCATAGTTTTTAACAAGACCATGATAAGAAACGGGGATTAACTTCAGTAACTTTTAAAAATATGTTAAAAATAACAAGCACTGAAACAGAGACTTGGTGCTGTCTAGAAGATTGCCAAGCGTGTGAATTTTTAAGAATCCCTTCAGAATTCTTCAGACAAAACATCACAAAACAATTTTTACTATACAGCATATACTTGCTTTTTAACACAGTAGAAAGCAGTAAGCTCGTAGTACTACTTACAGGTTACACTTCTTACACAACTGCACTTCGCTGGTGGTGTGTCTGGTGTAAGACCTCAGGAAAATGCACAGACGATACCAAAAATTTCTCTCAGGAGTAGCACTGGATCATTAAAAACCTTTAACTCCACCATGTTAACAAGGTTCTCTTTCACAGCGATTTCAGTAAAATACTGCATATACTTTTGAATGCTACTACAAAACTGAAGTTTGAGCTGAAAATTAAGAACTTTCTAGAAGTGACAGCAGATTAGATACTTCCCAGTGTTGAAGTTATCTCAAGTATTTCTTATAATGAAATACTAACCAATACCCATTCTTATACTAATACTTTTGCACTTAAAGGATTCACTGATAATAATCATTAGATTCGTTTACTCATCCAGCAGCAGCCACTCAAAACCAGTTTGCTTTCAAAATGCTTTAAGGCAGCAGAATGTACTCTAATAAGTATATAACATACACTGAAAGAAAATGGAAAATTATAAATAGAAATTGAGAGAAAGAATACCATCTACTTGGAATTATATATTCTTTAGAAACAACTGAAAAACAGCTATATTTATTATATATGTATAGTATTGTATAGTTGCTGCATGCAACATTTCCATGTAATTACCATAAATCACAAATACGCCTATGTAAAAGAAACTACAAAGCAGAACCATTATATTAGTGGAATTCTCCAGGGTGGTTTGTGATACACAACTTTGACATATCCTTGCCAGGTAATTGGTAAGCATTTCTAACATCTCATCCTTTCTAAGCACTGAAAAGGTAATATTATTTAACTGGTACACAGGTCATAAAAATCCAAGGAGCTTACCCTGGGTCACCAGAAAGCAGCTCAGATTCAAGTGTTATTTCCAACGTCCAGACAAGAAATCTGAAAAAGAGAATAACAAAGGGTTTGTGACAAACCTGACACACAGTACTCTGAAAATAGTAAAATCAATTGTGACATTTTTCATTTATTTGTAAATGCCTCTTCAGCACTATGCTCAGCCAAAAAGACAGCTGACTCTTATAGAACAGGGGAGGCGATGGTAAGAGAGAGAAATCCTGACAGTTCCTTTAATGAGATTCTGCATTAGGACCACTCCAACGCTCTCCTTCAGCGTGGAGCATGCCCTTCGCTTTCAATCTGCTACTCCCCAATTTGGAGAGCATTAGCACTATGAAAAACTCTACTCAGCCTCCTCTAATCAGCATCACAGCTCTTATTCCTATCTTACATTCACTGTCTCACTAAAAAGTTACATATGGAAGCCCTCTCAAAATTTTAACTAAAAGTAAGTCTCATAAAGCAAAATTAAACTTCAATTTATATGGTAGTAAAGAAATTAAGCTCTTGAAACTGACCTTATTCAACAAAAAAAAAAAAAAAAAAAAAAGGATGTTATGGGATAGCAAGCAAACAAAGCATTCCTACCAACTCTAGGAATTATGCTACTAGAAGCATTCAATGTAGGAAGGCCCTATGTTCACATTTCCCATATTGCAAATACAGGATAATTTTTAACAGGACACAAAACTTGCCCCACAAATACTGCGAGATCAGAAGCAGGGGGGATTTTAACAATTGTAACCATGCACAGATGCATATTATTTCAGGAAGAGGCCATACACCAGAAGACCTAGTGTTCAAGTGCACTTATTTTGGGATACCTCTAGTTTGAACCATCCCAGTCCTAAGCTTTCCACCAATAACCCTTCCTTGCAGATGAAACATACTATGTAGTACTACATCACAGGATATCTTTCACTGGGAGTGGAACTGAATCTCTCACAACAGCCTCAGGTAGCACTAGCACTTCATCCTGTTAACATTGACAAAATTTGGGAAAAGAAAAAACCCACACCTCTATTCCTAACTCTTTTGAATGAGGTTCAAGTATTTGGGTAGGAAAAAAAAAAAAAAAAAAAAAAAAAAAGAGAGAGAAGAGAGTTGGCCATCTTCATAAATTCCAAAGCAGTAGCAAGCACTTGGCTTGACTATCTCAACAGAAGCACTACAGTAATCCACACTCGGGAAGCACTTTCATTTGACAACTCAGCCACTTACGAAAAGAAGTCCAGGGCTTTTTAGACTATGGAAGAGATTACCAAGGAAATAATTTTTGGCACCATCAGCTAAAGGATGCAGATAAATTGTTACTTGAAAGTGCTCTGCACAATCCTCATTGGTCTATGGGGCCTTAAAAAAAAAAAAAAAAAAAGCTCCATTGCTAGAATCAAGGACAGCGCTTTATTTTCACTATTAGCTTCTGTTTTCCCTTACTGAAGACTCACCCTTCACAGAAACATTTGAAAATCAGCATAAAAAAGCCTAGCCCAACACTAAGTCACCTGCTGAGCAAATCAATCCGAGTTAACAAAAATAAAGTACTTCAAAACAAGTTCTCTGGCAGTTTGTGATTAACATCAGTTCTCATCACTTGAAAGACCATTGATATTTCATTCTTAGAAGCCTACCCTTACTCCGAGCAACCTTTCACATTTGGATGGAAAGCAGAAAAGGCCAGATTCTGACCTCTGCTCCAGTACAGGAGCACCAATGAAATCTAATGAAGTCAACAGGCATTTACTCCAGAAACGAAAAAAAAAATTACTATTTAGCTCTGAGAAAGGCTGCTTTATAATTCAGACAGGTGATCTGGAGGCACAGCAGAGCAATAATGACTAACATCACATAGTAGAGGGAGTATAAATTTTAATGATACCACTCATAAAACCTGCATTTTAAAGGTTACAAAACAGAAACAAGCTTACAAAGAAAACATATAAATCATTCTAGGTGTCGGGTTCTTGCTCCTTAGCTATTTTTAAGAATTAACAGCCTGTCCATCACTAAATAAACTAGGATGCATTGCACCTATTCACACAGGGCTGAAAAGGAGCTTATGCTGGAGTTCAGCAAGCACATTGGACTATAACCTCCACTCTTAGCAATGCAAGAGTCATGACCATGTGTACCTTCACCATTTTACTCATAAGTAAATAAGACTAAACAAAATCACATGTCTAAATATCAGCGAATTTGGCCAAGATTACAACACATAATTACTAAAAATAGGCCAGGTAAGTTACATCAGTATTTCATACCCAGACACGTGTGTGCCCTCTATCATCTGCTCATACGCATTTCTTTGTGTTCCCTTAAATTTCTATAACAAATAATTGTGTTCTATGAATTTCTATAATTTCTATAATGTTCACAAAACCAGACTGGATCCTGGGTGTTTTGAGATAGTAAACATCAAAGAGACATAGACAGGAACAGGGGAGGCCATTAAAAGACAGGAGCACTCATCACATTTCATTCTTCATTTGTCCAACCTTAACTTGCAAGCTTTAATCCCCTGCACATAAAATTAAAGTTCACCCCAAAAACCGCTGTGTCATTTAGCAAGGAGCTGAGGTGGGTTTCTGAGCAGGTCAACGCGTGAGCATCGTACTCCAAATTACTTGCAGCGTAAATTGACCTAATTTATTAGCAAGTGCTAGTAAAATTTATTGTTTATTTATATATATATATATATATATATATATATATATATATATATATCTGTTAGTAAAATCTGCTAAATCAAACATTAACTGTAGGTCCAACATGCAAATAGGAACAAATAACACCATTCCAAATAAGCAAAACTAATTATCCATCCTAATCCTCCTGCCGAAAGCCAACACAACATTAATCCTATCTTCTCTTCATTACCCAACAAATTCCTTTTTCATTATTCATGGCTCTAGCATCCTCCTTGCAGCTTAAGCACAGAATTCTACTAGCATAAAGGTTCAGTAGAATTTCAACTATAACATGCCCTATTCAGCCTCTAAAAGAACAGGGATGCTTCAGGAGTAAGTTAGGAGATAATCAGGACTCTCCGGGTGCTAGAAATGCTTAAATATACCCCAAACATTTCAAGAACAGTGAACATCCTCTGTACGTTCTCATCCAGCCCACAGTAAGGTTTGAGTTACTCAAATTCCAGGGCATTCATAGTAGAAATTGAACCCAGCTTCCATACAGCATACCATTTACACCAGTCAAACAGTCTGGAGCAAACGTTTCTTTTGCTTGTAGTCAAAAAGAACGAAGACAGTTTGAAACTACAAACCTTTTATTCATCCCTCCCTCCATTCTGATGCACGGGAAAGCTGCAATGCAACTTCTCTATGCAGCTCTCCATTCATACCAGAAGGATGAGTCAGAAAGTGAACCTTATATTACACCTTATTACTTTAACTGCTCTGCAATTACAACTCTATTGTTATACCTATACATAAGCCTTCAACACAAGACATTTTAAACGGTTGTTAACAAGGTTACTTTGAGCTAATAAGTCAGTATAATGGTGAACTTCGATGCATTCGTTACTCAAATCCACAGACCCTTGAAACTGTGCAGGATCTCACAGAAATCACGCTTGGTTTTGCAGATCAGACATTTCTTACCTTGAGAAAAATCAGTCTCTGTATTTCACTGCCCAGAATAAGACCCACACCGCATCTCACCAGTAAATGTGCCAGCTACAGACTCATTGGAGGCTGCTGCATTAGGGCTCTTCTTATGCCCTGGACTACCTTCTGGAAGCAGGGTGCTGGCAGCCAGGTTCACTGACCAAATGACTTCTCTACAGACTTTCAGCACACTGCTTCAGATGAGGCTATTAGTTTTTAAGAGCTTTAACAGTAAATTTCAGTAAATTTAACAGTAAATATCCTTCCTGATTGAGCTGTTTAATGGATAACTTGAAGTCCATTTATTTTTTTTCGTGAGTAGACAAACAGTAAAAGGCACTTGCACAAGGTCATCTTGCCTTGCTGCAAAGCCTAACAAGGGTATCAGATAAGGCCTCACCCCGAGTCCTGTAATGTCAGAGGGAATATTTCCACCAGTTGAATTTTAATACTGAATGGAGATTTGGGATCAACCACACAGTTGCAAAGCTCCAACTGGCAATGCTCACCGGACCTAAGGCTGTGACTTCGCATTTGAAATTTCTACATCCACGCACTAACTGTCAGAATCACTCAACCTCTTAAGATGCTTGCAGTTAAAGAAAACTAATTATTTCATTTCCTATGAGCTGTTTCCCTAATTCCAGAATCTTTGTCTTCAACTCTGAAGCAATGGTATCTAAGTGAACTGCTAACGTAAGGCAGCATTGTTTCACCAATCTTCTTTTACGTCTTAAAGTATTTCCGAAAGAAAACAAACTTGAACAATGATCTCAGCATTTATATAGTACTGAACTTCAACTGCAGTAATTGTGTTGCTGTGAGCTATGACAACTTTCCCATGGGGGAGAAATGACCTGGTAACGCAAGAATAGCAAAGTCAAAAGTAAGGTAAGCTGGGGGAGGGAAAGGATTTCCCCTTAGGATGAGATAAATATAATTTCACACGGCAGTGTATATCTCTCTTAAGCCTCAGGTGGTTTTAAGTTAATGAGATTAGTTCCAGCAGGCAGTGAAATCCCAGGATATAGAATTTAATATTTTAGCAGTTTTCACTTCATCCAGCAAGTACAGTGTAGTCAATCTTTGTGTCATTTTGTTATTGCCCTGGTTGGGGTCTCATTTTCAGATTCAAGCCTGGCTAAGGCAACCCGTAACTTTGGCTTGAAAGCTTAAGCATTATGTAAAGAATGTGCTTAAATATTTAAAAAGGCAGAGAAAGGAAGCAGACATCTGGAGGACAGCATTTTTTCCATTCTTCAACTTCATAAGTACTTTTATGTAATGCAATTTCATTCTTCACTAACTTCTGATTTTTATTTAATAATACATTTAACCCTTAACACAAAAAAATACAGAAACTAACATTGCGTTGTTAAAATTTAGTTCCTAAAGAGATGGCCATTAACAGATTAGGACAAATGAGTAGTTCAGTATAATTTAAGTGCTGAACGACCACCGCACAGCTCAGCGCAACCAATACTGGCTGTGTCAGATGTTAGCATCAGTCATTACACAGCGCTGTCACACAGAAGCCTTCCCAAAGTCAACAAACAAGAAAAAAAAGAACGTGTAACACTTTGTGATTTCCACGCACTGAAAATTCTTCCATGGCCAGCTGTATTTCAGCTGACAATTGCTGTACATTAGCAACCAGTAGTTTAAGAAGTATCAGTTGTTTCACACTGTGGACAATATTTTTTAACTGTAATTTTAAGCATTTTTTGTGATAACATTACTAGTATAAAGGAAACAAAAATCTGGTGTTGACAACATGCTTGAGATAGCTCATCCCTATCCCATACAGTACTGACCACAGCTCTTTCTTCTCTCTGGCAAAACAAAGCATGAAACCAAGTCCAGCACACAAATACGAAGATCGTGTAAGTTTCAGGCTTCTCTCCAAGACTGACTCATTAAACTACAGATCTAGACAGCATACAAAGAAATTATTTTCTATCAGGGTAGTTTAACCTCAAAATACAAAATGCCCTCTATTGAAAAGGTTTCCTAGATTCACAGGAAAACACTGCATTTATTTCAGTTTTATTTTACGAACTCGATTTTAATACAAGCAGATCACACTCAATCACCATTTTAACTTCTGTTGCTTTTACTTTTAAGGCTGCATCTAATTTCTCATTCTGTGCCAAACCACCTCCCCATTATCTTCATCCCTTGTCTCCCATAAAGATGTTCTTCCCATTTGAGCTTTTGCCGCTTCATATCAACCAAGTGTCTTTAGTTGCACTCAGAGAAGTTCAGTCATCTTTGTCAGAGGAGTGGGAGTGTTTCGTCACAGTCTGTGACAGAGTAAACAGAGGCAAAGCAACATAACAGAAATGCTATGAGATCTATTTCTGTGTTTGATGGAAGTATTGGGCTGAAACCTCACGTGGGACAAAGCTGTATAGTCCTACTGAATGAAGGCAGTAACAGCACAGGAGTCTGAGGACACAGAGGCCAGCACCCAAGCACAAGCTGATTTCTAATGATTCAGATTTTAGCCAAATAGCCATTTTACTGCGATCTGCTGAATAAACAACGGAACGCTCTGTATCCCTCACTGCCGCTCTGGCTGTAAGTTGGAGAAAATTAGTTATATAATTATGTGGATGCATTTTAGCATCACTTGCATGTTGCATTCTCCTGTCATGTTATTTAAATATTTGCTCACCTGAGAAGTAAATACATTTGCTCCTAAGCCCAGTAAATACTTCCAGATCAGCACAAAGCAAAGCATGCTATTTTCAATTAACTATATCATGCAGATATAATTCCCCAGCAATACCAAAATGAAGTACTAGGGTAACTTATGAAAGTACTACAATTCTAAGTGATGTATTAGAATCAGAATGCATCATGCTCTCTGTTGACAAAGGATTATTTAGCCTGCGAACTCCTTCCACACATACTAATAACAGACACACAAGGTTCAAAAAAGGAGCCTATTTTAAAGTAGTTATTAATCTCTCCCATCATTTACATTTATCAGTCTCTGAAAATAACAGACCCAGCAGAAAAATATCTACAGAAGTATGACTGCAGGGTGAGTTACTTTGAAACATTTTCAAAAGGAAGCAAAAAATAAGTCAAAGTTTTCATTTAAGTTTTGAGTCCACAAGGATCAACAGAAGGGAGCAATCTGAATCCTTCCCATAATCCCAAATCAAGAACCCTTATATAGTTATACTTGCCATAATAGATCGGCTTTATGATTTAATAGTTCTACAATATTCTAGCAGACTTCTACAGGAAAGCTACACAGCTTTGTGACTGTATTCTAAAATATTAACGTGCAGAGTGATCTTAATTTACTCTGAGTAGTCTTTAAAAAAAAAGCCCAAACACTTGCTTTAACCTTACTTCTTTCTCTTTTGCCTTGGCCAAGTCCATTTTTACTACACGCACTTTCATTGTGAAGTGAATCAGTAACCAAAAGTTCCCTTGTAGAGCCTATTAGCAGCATTTGGCCAAAAACAAAACAGTAGCATTAAAAACTGCAATCAGATAACAGGCATGTATATGAAAGCATGTATACTTGTGCAGAGATACCACATGCAGACGTACTTTCCCGGATAAATAGAAAGCAGTCTTCATGCAGATGGAAAAAACTTGCACAGTTCAGCTAAGGGAAATGCACGTGTTCTCCGCACAAAAACATGCCCAATCACTGCCCTGTTTACCTCAGAACAGAACTTGCCCTGTCAGAATGTAGATACTCCAAGGAAGAAAAATAACAGGATAGAAAAATACTGAGTCTGAAGTCTTAACCCTTCGACCTTCCGCTCTTAAGTCCAGAGAGCTGCTGTCCACAGCAGCCTGCTCTCATCAGTGGGGATTCAGCTTCCTCCTGCTGCAACACAGTAGATGGACACAATGCCTTGGATGGAGACTTGGTTTGGGAGGGGAGATAACTGCTGACATATACAAAGGCGTAAGGCTGATGTATACAAACAAAGACAGGCTACAGAGTTGGAGGAAATGTGGAAACTAAGATACAGTTTCACAATGAAAATTAGATAACGAAATGGACAGAGGTTGTCAGGAGAATTTTCACATTCCTTTACATTTACTAAAATAAGTATTGACTGATATATTCAGTTTCATCACGGTGAGCATTAGATAAGGGCTCTTGGACTAACTCAATATGATGCATCTCCCGACAGCTAGAAATACTACACAGCTTAAGCTGCAATCTTGTTCTCTCTGGCTTCTGAGATCTGACAAGAGTGATCCGACAGGAAGCTTATAGAAAAAGCTGGGAAATACAGCTGGCAATTCAAATTCCTACTCAGCAAGTGCCCACTTACAGTTGGTTCTAGAGGCTGAGACTTAAACCCAGACTTCTGACCACTGTCACCATTAATGATCGCCAGTAAAAGCATTTGCAAGCTAAGCCATTTTGTTCTTGGAAAGCACTCCAGCAACACTTTGGCATCTCAACACAGAATCACACTAGTCTACAAAGTTCACTCATGCATGAGTAAGAGTGAATGCTTATTGTTATTTTACAGACAGAAAAGTCCTCTACAGTAAGAGAACAGGGCAAATACAAATAGGGTGCTCTGGCAGCCTTCAATCAAGAAACGCCCTTCACTTTCCATACCAAACACTCTCTACACTCCTGTTGGTCCAACAACTTTTCAGTAGCAAATGATTTCTGAACCACCACATCAGAAGTCCCTTCAACCACAGAATCACAGAGTGGCTAGGGTTGGAAGGGACCTCAAGGATCATGAACCTCCAACCCACCTACCGCATGCAGGGCCACCAACCTCCGCATTTGATACCAGACCAGGCTGCCCAGGGCCCCATCTAACTTGGCCTTGAACACCTCCAGGGACAGGGCATCCACAGCCTCTCTGGGCAGCTGTTCCAGCACCTCATCACTCTTACAGTAAAGAACTACCACTGTGTACATTCAGTATAACAGGTTATTTCACACCCTTCACAAAAAGGCCACAGAACCACATATAACACAAGCATAGAGACCTCCCAATTTCACAGCCCTACAGACCACAGGCCTAGAGCAGAAGTTCCCATAAACTAAATGATATATTCTATTTGATGAAGAACAGTCTGCTTTTAAATACGTGACAGCACATCAATGCTTTGCAAGTGTTGTAGCATAGTTCACTACTCGGTGTCAGAATGATTGCGTAGATCGTACTGGAGGAAGCTGAGTGCTG